TCACCTGCGTCGTGGCCACCTGAGGCCAGGGGTCCAGGCCAGGGGACACCGGGCTGACTGGCCTAGAGCACTCAGGACCCCAGCAGAGGCCATGCAACCTCTCCGGGGTCACGTCCCGGGCAGACCCAAAGCTCTGCAAGGGGTGGAGCGGAAGCCAGCGGTGCAGCAGGTACCCCGTAGTGCCCCTCACAACTGCACTTGTCCCCAAGGGAGGGGCTTGCCTTGCAGACCGTCTGAAAAGCCCGGGACTTCAGATAACGAAGCCCCTTCTACGAAGCTGCATGAACTGAACACAACACGGAGGTGGAACAGCCACAAAGGAAGCCCGTGGACCTAGTGTGAGCTCAGATGGGAGAGAATCCCAGAGAACTGACCAGAGCCCTGGGCAACCTCTGCCTGGTCAGCCGGAGCCAACCCGCTCCATCCAGAGGGTTCAGGTCACAAGCCAGGGGTCTACTTGGCTTTTAAGCTGGTCTGAGTTGTGTTTTCCTGTTATTTGTCACCGAAAGCATCCTGACAAATACGCACACCTGGACCCCGTTCCTCCTTGTGGAAAGTGAACTGAGGCAGCCTGATCTGAGGAAAAGACGCCATCAGCTTAGTGCGAGCAGAAACCATGTCTATATTGCTCACTCTGCTCTCCCGGCCGCCTGGAACGGCACCTGGCCTATAGGAGGCCCTCAATGCACATCTGTTGAATGAGCCAGTGAGTGAACCGACTTGGTGGTGTTGGGAAATCGAACCCAATCCTGGCTCTAACACTTCCGCTGTAGTGTGACTTCAGGCCCATCACTCCCCTTCAGCGCCTTGGCTTCCCATCTGTGAAGGGAGGCTGACTCAGATCAAGCTGGGCTGCCTCGCACAGGCCTGCGGTCTCTGTGACAGGGCAGGCCCAGAGGGTGGGAAAGCACGGCTCAAACAGGGAAGTGGCAGGGGTGTCATTTGAAATGGCTCCCTTGGGGGACAAAGTTTTCTAAGCCTAAGAAGTGAAGCCACTTCTTGGGTGAGGGGAGTCTGGGGGTGGGAGAGTTCACTTGGAGTTCTGAGAACAACGCAAGAGCGTTCCGTTTCTTCCCGGAATCTGCCTTCCCCTGTGGTTCCCTAGGAAGAAGATGCTGTACTCCCCTTCTTCTCCGCCTTCTCAGGTATCCAAGGAATGCAGCTGCACACCCAGGCTTCAGGGCAGGCTGACTCGGAGGAAAGAGGGCGGTCAGTCAGGGGTTGGTGCAATGTGCTGGGGTCATCAGGGTTCTTTGACTTTCTGCTCCTTCCTCCTCACCGAACTGGCCTTACTGCCTCCGGTCACAAGAGGTGAGCCACGCTGCAGACATCTGGCTCAGGACCCGGTGGGCTGGCCCAGGCAGTGGGACGCCAGGGACAGAAGCGTTTCCCATAAGAGCCCAGCGTTTTTCCTTTTCTCTCAATGTGTGCTCACCCCTGAATGCGGACCATGGGTCTCTCTCCTTGAGGTCAAGGGATTGCCACCCTGCTCCCTCATCCGTGTGAGCAGGAGGGAAGAGGGAAGACACTGTACCTCCTTCCCCAGGCCACACATACATGTGAGGTGGCTGAAGCCTGGGAGGGCGGATGTCCTCCACGGCTGAGGCTCAGAACTCGCGCAGTCAGCATTCCACATCCCGGGTCCTGTTCTAGGGGCAGGCCTTCTGATAGGGCTGGCACCCTCTCGTGCACCCCCTGCCAAGCCACACAGTTTTATGTGGCAGTTCAGTTGAGAAACTCGGGTCTAAATGAAACCCCACAAGGTATCATAGGAGGGGTCCCCTCCTGTCAGTTTCAGCGACATCACCCTGCTCCCGAGCTTGGGTGAACGGAACTGGCCTGGGTCACTACTGTGCCTCCACTTCCTGCTCCCACCCAGGAGGGAGCATGCTTATCAGGATGGCTGGGGCTCTGAGATGGTCATGGTTCCAACATAGGGGTCACTCCCCCTCTGGGCTTGAGTTTTGTCATCTTTAAAATGTGGCAACAGCCCTAGCTGGTTTGGCTAGGTGGATAGAGGGTCCCGGGTTCGATTCTGGTCAAGGGCACATGCCTCTCTCCCTCTCTGAAATCAATAAAAATATATTTTAAAAAAATGTGGCAACAGCCCGGCCATCGTGGCTCAGTGGTTGAGCATCAACCTATGAACCAGGAAGTCACAGCTCGATTCCTGGTCAGGGCACATGCCCAGGTTGTGGGCTCGATCCCAGTGTGGGGTGTGCAGGAGGCAGCCGATCAATGACAATGATTCTCTCTCATCATTGATGTTTCTATCTCTCTCTCCTCCCTTCCTCTCTGAAATATATATATATAAATGTGGCAACAACAGTTCCAACATTACAGCGTTGTTGTGAACAGTTAATGCCTAACGATTGTTTACCTCGGTGCCTGGCACAGTTAGCTATTCTTACAGTAATGCACCAAGGGGTGGGTGAAGCACCCTTCCTCATGAATCCCTCAGGTGACTGACTCTACTTCAGTGGTTTTCAAAGTTTTTTTGCTCAGGATCCAGTGATATATATTGCGACCAAGTACACACCTCTATGTATATCTGAAATATTAAGTACTGTGAAACAATACTTACTCTTACTATGTGTAATAAAAAAATCTGTTGTTTTCTCGTCTTATTTATTTTTATTTTTTTACTTAGTGTTAGCTTTGATTATATTAACTGCTAGTATTACAAATCAATCCAAATGTGGTAAATCTAAGTACAGTGGGGACATTTCTCTTTCCGGGAACAACCCCTTTACATATCCTGGTACCATCCCCAGTGGAGGGCTCCCTCTTGTGTGGTCCTTAGCCTCTACCGATGTTCCCCTCCGGGGAGGGAGTGGAAGGAGAGGAAACTTGAGCTCTCTCCAGAGGCCAGTGGTGTCCTAACTTTGAAAGCTTTGGTGACGCCTCAGGACCCACAGGATGTTTTCTGTTCTGTCTGTTCCTCCAGATGTTTGTGCCTCCTGGTGTGTGTCCCTCTGGATCTACTTTCCATTCTTTTCCACTCTGCTCTGGGCCTCAGCACACTCACCTGTATAGACTGCATTCGTGAGCTCCCTTGCCCTCTGACTTCCAATTTATTTTAACAAGGGGACGTCACCAGCATTGGGGATGGGAGGTGGACAATGCACTTGTCTTTGCATGTCAGTTTCACTGCTTCCCCTGTTGCGTTTATGGCATCCCTCAGTTGCCGGCCTGCTCTCTCTCTGCCCCACGCAGCTCACATCTGGCTCTGGAGAGACATTCAAGCATCCTCACCGGTCTTCAGGGGAAAAGTCTGCTCCAGGGCAGTCTGGTTTCTGCTCTCTCTGCCCTCAGAGCAGCCAGCCTACCACATCCTGATTTCATAGGCATGTGTCACATCACAGTCACTATGCTCAGCAAACACACAGAGGTCCGTATCTGAAAGACAATCTAATCTCTCAGCAGGTTTGAGAGGAGGGGTAGATAGTCCTTACTCTTCCCCCGTGGGCATGGGAGGAGGGCTGACACACTCTCCGACAGAATTCTTATTTCCAAACCAACCTTGAGATGAGTATTTGCTAAGGGTCACAATCTGGTTTTTGCCCCCACCTTGCAAGTCCTGAACAGGTGTTTTAATTTTATAAAATGCCAGTCATGTCCTAGTAAATTGATTTTTACAATCACTGCTGGGCTCTGACCCTCAGTGTGACCGTACTTCCCTTCTCTGAACTGAACGAGTGTATTAGTTTCCCATTGCTGCTGTGGTAATTGCCAAAGAGGTGGCTGTAAACAACACAGGTGGATTCTCTTACAGTTGTGGTCAGGGGTCCACAACCAGCCTCCGTGGGCAGGTGGCATTCCTCCTGGAGGTGACGAGAGAACTCGTTTCCTCCTTTCCCAGCTTATGGAGGCTTCCTGCATTCCTTGGGTCTGTGGCCTTGTGACACTCCAACCTACCGTTCCATCATCACTCCCCTCCTGCCTCCCTCCTATAAAGATCCTTGTGATAATGGTGGGCCCTCCTGGATCATCCAATATATTCTCCCCGTCACATCTTTAAGTTAATCCCATCAGAAGAGTTCACAGGTTTTGGGGATTAGGACATGGACATCTTTGGGGGCATTATTCTACCTACCACACTTTGCATAAATTATACACAATAACTTAGATAACAGAGCTTATAATTCACATTTTGATCTGTACTGACTATCCCACATTGGGGTAGCTTTATTGCCTTCGATACACTGCACGCCCCTGGGGGAACCCTGGGCCTTCACATCATTGCCTCCAGAGTTGGGCACACATGGGAGGTAAACTACTCGTGATGACTGCTGGGCCAAACTGAAGAGTGATGCTTAAGTAATTAATCTGTGTTCTGAGGCTGACTCTGGTTTTCTAATACTATTCTGGAAAGAACTACTGAAATTTTTTTGGTTAGCAAAAGCCTTCATACATTGTTTCCTACCCTATGCTACTCTGTTATTAAGGGTCTCCATGCCTACTATAGGGCCAGTGCTAAGCCTGAAAGCAAACCCCACCTTTGCTATCTAATGGAATTACTAATACCGAATTACCATTTTACCAGTAGGGAGACTGGGGTTCAGGTATGTTAGCTATTGCTCAAGGTTACACAGGTTGGCAGAACGTTGACACCAAAGCCCAAAGCTTCAAATCAAAGGGCTTTGGTGTTCACCTAGGTCCCCTCCAGAAGGTAGTCATTGTGGACCCACGCCTGGCCTTGTTCTCGAAGGTCGGGTGAGAGGAGGAGCTTCCACAATCGCATAGATCCCGGCACTGCACTATAGCACAGAGGGTTTCTGGTTGCCATGCTTGGGATGGGTGGTCTTCCATGGGTGAGAAATGGCCTAAGTTACAAAAAAAGGAAAAAGATTACTCTGTGGCTATTAAGTTCTTGGTGGCAAAGTTCATAAATTTTGTTTTTTGTTGTTTTTTCTTTCATGCAACACATTGTTTCTCTAAAAACCTCTGGGCTCACTAGCCAAGTCATGTGATTTAATGAAAGTGAAAAGAAATTAGCTAATTCGTAATTTTTGGCCTGCTTTTGTCTTTCCTCTCTCTGTGACAACAACCTTGCTGATACGCTGGTGCAAACACATATGCACAAAGGAGCCCTGCCAGCAGGTCCAGAGAGAACACGGCAGCCAACAGGGAAGGGGCAGGCTCCTGACCTGGCACACCGGGTGCTTCTGGGTCCTCTTCTGGAGGGAAGCAATGCTCCCACGAGTCACCAAACGGGCAAAACAGCTCTTCTGAGACTATCATGACATCCTCTGAGAAGCACTGTTACCAGGGTCCTAAAACTAAAGTTGTGTTTGAATCCCTGCTCTACTTCTCCTGGGCCAGTGAAGTCAAGAATATGGCCACAACTCAAGGCTACTCTATATTGATCTACTTTGTTATTCATTTATATTTACACCTCTCAAGATTCGCAGCCTTGGAATGTCAAAATTCATGTCTAATTATGATGAAAATAACTTAGCTTGGGCACAATAATCACTAAATCAAAATGATAACGTGTCCTTTCCTCTTCTACACACCCTCGCATTATGCCCTCAGCGGCACACGATTACAGCAGTTCCTGCTGCGGGCATAGGGCACAGGGCCCAGAGCAGGCTCCCATTTGGGCGTGGCTGCTTAATGGTGGTGGGCATCTCTGTGCACCATGGGAACAGTCCACCTACTTTGCAAAAGCACTGCAATGCTAAAAGATAGCATGTAGTAAGTGGTTCTTTTGGTTGAAGAAAAACCATTTGTATTCAATTTAAGAAACGAATCATCTAAGATTTTACCTTAAAAACTAGTCTAAAGAAGAATTGATTAAGTCTTTCTACTAAACATGGAAATATTATAAGGAAACAGAACCAAAAACATATTCAGTATTTTTATTTAAATTTTTAGCAATTTACATATCTCTCCACCCTTTAAGTTAGTGTGACAATTTCCATAATAAACTACTAAAAGAGAAGCTTTGGTCAAAAATGGAATGAAATAGCAAAAACAAAAACCAAAAAAACAAACAAACAAAAAACCAAAATACAAACAAAACTCAATCACTGCTGCTTTTAAAAATCCAACATTTTCACCAATTATATTCAAACAAAACCACACAAACAACATTTGCGCGATGTGTGTCTTCAGTGTTTCCTTGCGGCTGGCTCTCCTCACCATCATGCACATGGTGGAGCTGCCGTGGGGGCAGTTTGTCAGTTTGTCAGTTTGTCATGCTGGATCTGGGAGGCTCACTCAGCTTCACATTATCCGGAGGCCCTGGATGGAAGACTCTAAGGTCTTGAAAATGGAAGGGAGAACACTAATGGTTACTGAGGACTGTATATCCTGGCATTTTCCCCACAGCGCCATACTACTCCCCCTCCTCTCCTTGGCTGAGATGCAGGCCCCTTGTGCTCCTTGTACCCCCCAAATCTGAGACACGCTCTCCCAGGACTCTACCCAGAGCCTCTCCAGGACTGCTGGCCCTTCCAGGCCACGTGTTCCCCTGTCTCCACTACCCCAGCCCACAGGTTCTGGGCACACTCCTCTGTGTTCCTGGGGCACACACCTCCTTATCTGTTCATTGGCCCTTACTGATGAGGGCCACCTGTGCACACGTCCCTTGCCTCTTCACCACACGCTAGATGCCCTAACGGCAGGCACTTCTATGTTTCTGTAGGCCACACAGCAGTTAGCCTGCTGCACAACACAGCAGGTGCTCCAAGGTGGATGGATTGAAGAGAAAACTGCACTGGGACTTCCTAGCTCACACAAGTGCAAAAAGAGAGAAAAAGACCTGGCCTGAGAGATCAAAGGATAAAGGGCATGACTGTAACCACCCAGGGGTGCTAACTACAGATGCCCAGGACTAAAAGCATATGAAGATTAAAAAAAGGAGTGGGAGGATACTTTTAGAGAAAGATGGTTTGTTTCTTCAGAATATTCTGGAGGCTTTTCCATACTATGTATTTGAACCAAGGAGGGGAAAAAACATCATGGAAATGTACAACAGCAAAATTCTATAAAGCTGGAGTATACAGAGTCCTTAGACTTGTCACAACGCCTTCCAGCAGGCCTCCTAAACCTCTCTCTGTCCAGAGCCTCCTGGCTACAACCCCTGCCACAGCTGGAGTTCATATCCTCACCACCTGTTCCCTGGACTCAACAGCCTCTGCCCCAAGCTCTCGTTGCCTAACCCCCCACACCTTACAGCCTGGTGCTTTTCTACATTGGTTCTGGAATAGCTTTTAGTTGTCTGTAGACAAAGCCCAGCTTCCTCTCCCTGACCATGCCAAGCTCTTTTCTCTAGTTCCATCTTCTGCATCTGTAGGACTCACACCACAGTCCACACCACTGGCAGTGCCTTGAATACAGTGTGCACTCTCTGAGCTCTGGGCCTGGTCTGCACAGGCTGCTCTTGCAGCTCAGAATGCTTGTGCACCCCCTTCGCCCCCAACCATTCCTGAAATCCCACTGCATCAAGGGATGCAGCTCTTCCCTGCAGCACTGGCAGTCCATGCCTCCCCCTAAACTCTTCGATGTAAAAACAGAGGCACTGGCTTCTCTTCTGGAGCTCCAATTAATCCCCTGACACTCCTCTCTCTCCTACCAGACAAGCCCTTCAGGGGCTCCTTCATCTCAATATCTTCTGTACCCAGCACCATGCCTGGCACCCAGAGGACACTTAGTAAATGTTTATTAGACTAATTAGTGTAAACCGTACAAATTTATCTATGTAGCTAAATTTAGACGGGTACCCACACAGGGCCGGCTACAGAAACAGCACTCAACTTTTCCTCAATGAATTGATGGACATCTAGAAAGAAGTATATATTCCAAATCATTGGGAAAATGTGGTTTCCTGCTAATGACCTTTAGGTTTTAAAGACAACTACAGTGTAATATCTTATATTTTTGCTTTGCATTGGCTTTGATATTTTCTTTCAAAAAATGAGAAACATTTTTCTCATAGGAAGTTTTAAAACAGGTTTGTTCTGAAAGGCAGAAAATACCTTGAAATCCCAAATTGTCATGGCTCCATCGATGCCAGTAGTGCAAAATTTGTGACAATCTTGCTTGTCCACCTCATAAATAGATACTTGACTGAAAAAAAAAAAAAAAAAGCAAAAAACAAGAGATTGTAAGGTATGTGGTAGAAGTGAGCCCCAACCTTCCTAACAGTATAAGGTTTTCAAGGAAACTGTCTATCAACTCCTGAATATCAAGTTGTCTATTAATATTAGGCTGCAGCAATCTGACTCAGAAAATATGAAATATGAAAATGCACCATATTCCCAAATGGCCAGAAAAGACTGATATGAAGGAAAGGTTAAGAACCCACATTAATTAGTGATGTGGAGAAACAAGACAATCCAGGCCACACAGCCTGCAAACTGCCCAGTAGCAGGATGTGGCCAGGACCACAGCCATGATTGAAATAGAAACTAATTTAAACAAACAAACAAACAAACAAACAGAGGCAGGATGAAATGCGACTGAAATCCAATCAAGACAAAAACTCCCAATGACTCTCTGACAACCAGGGCATATAAGCCAAGAGCTCTCCTTCGTTTAAAATTAATCATTATAAATGCCAGACATACCACAAAATCCCAACCACGCAAAACAGAGGAACACAAATGAAACAACTTGTCTCAGCCTAATTATCTGAAAAACTTCCAAGAAAATCAATTCTGTAGCTCAGATAATATTTTCCTTTCTCCTCTGAAATGACTAGAATATTACCTCTAGGGAAGGGGGTGGCAAATGGTACATACTACCAGTGAGCTACGAATGGATTTTAAAATTTTAAATGGTTGGAAAAAACCCCAAAACTATTATTTCATGACATGTGAAAATTATGTGAATTAAAATTCCAGTGTCCATAACGTTTTACTGAAATAAAGCCATGCTCATTTATTTACATATTGTCCATGGCAGCTTTTGTACCACATGGAAGAGTTGAGTAGTTGTGACACAGACCATATAGCCCCTAAGAGTCTAAAATATAGATTATCTGGTCCCTCACAGAAAAAGTTTGCTAATCCTGCTCTAGGGCAAACAGGACTTAATATCTGCAAATAAAAGTAAACATGTCACTCTGCAAGGGTCTGTCACTTTATTTTTAAACTAAAAGTCTCAAAGAAGCAAAGAGAGTTGTTTCTTTCCTGATACACAGTCTGCAGAGAAGCTTAAGAAAAATTCACAAGAAATAATTGTGAAAGTCATTCAAGACAGAGAAACTTGAAAAGTGTGAAGAAAGTTTTGCTATGCCTTCAAGTTACACTTTTCAATAGAGCACAAACATTTTCAGCCTATTTTAAGTCTAGTGGTCCCTTTCACTCAACATGATGAAAAGCACAACTTAGCCCTGGCCGGTGTGGCTCAGTTGGTTGGGGTGCATTGTTAGTCCACACCAGCTCATAGTCCACAGCAGGATCTGTGGAATGCCTTGTACCATCTACACCTTGAAGGACAGAATGACTAGCGGGTGTAGTTCACTTTTAGGCACTGGCTACAGGTAGCATCCAGGAACTCAGATCCGGTCCCGGGGCCCCAGGTGGCTGGGTGGCACTTACGTGATGCTATTCTGGTGCAGAGTCTCCAAGGCTGTATTGCGGTCCTCAGTTGTGGCCCTCTTGTCCATGTTGCGGAAGCGTTCCATGGCAGACATGTTGCGCTGGATGCTCTGTTTTGGAATGTCTAGCTTGGAGACGAAAGTCAAGCTGCCGCGGTCATCATAGTTAAAGAGCATTGGGCAGCAGTCATGGCCCTGAAACAGGATATTAGTCAGGCCCTGGAGGGTACACAGTCTCCCTACCAACCCCTCAGAGAATGTTCACCACCGCAGGCATCTCTTATTCCTAAAGGCTAGCTCTGTTTCTTTTAAAAGGCTGTTCTACTTTGTGCTAGTGCACAAAGTCACAGAGCACGCATTGCTCCTGTTCTGGAGAATTATATACAGTGTATTACAAGGAAAGATGAAGAGAAATACTTACAGCGGCTACAACGCTATTCTCCGAGACAAATGACACACTCAGGAGGGGCAGGAACTCTGTTTTCAGAGTTGAGACCCTGAACACAAGAACACTTGTTAAAAGGAGATACAACGAACCACTCAGTTTCCTTATGGATACAGAAGATGACAAAGGACCCATTCTCACAGGGGCTTTGGCAGTATAAACAACCACTTATGTTTAAAAGGAGCCCCATGACCTAGCCTTTCAGGAATCTCAAGCATAAAATGGCCCTGAGATAACCTACAGAAACTGAGGCCTTCTGCTCTCTTTAGCCTATGCTCTACTCCCTTCTAAGTTTATCTCCCCCCCACCCCCAACTCATGACAAACTGGTCTACAGCTTGGTCCCCAGAAAGCCCTTGTTCTTTCCCATCTCTGCCTTTGCTCCCACACCCCTTTACCACATGCTCTCTCTGCTTCTCTTGCTTATCCAAAGTCCACCCGTCTTTGAAGTTCAGCTCTGATTTGATCACCTCCATGAAACTTTTCCTGGACCACATCAGCCTAAAGTAGCTTCCCCTTTCTCTGATCTCCTAAAGTTCTTAGTGTCACTCACGATTGAACACCTTATTTTGCTATTTTCTCCTTGCCTGTGCTCACTAGGGGCTCCTAGAGGGCTGGGACCACTAACAGTCAGTAAAGCCTATTCTCTTTCCTTCACCTGGGTTAGGAGCTAGGGCTACTATAAGTATCTATATACATGTATAGACATCTTCCAGAAGACTCTATCATTTATAACAAGGGAAGACATTTAAAGAAACCCATAAAATTTAAAAATACAATTCAATCCAGTAGGAAAAAATATCCTTTCTGAAATACCACTTTGTTGTCACCATGTGGCAGAGGGAGCCAGAGGCACCTGATGTGACCGACTGCCAGCATACAGTTAAGTCAGGAAACCTTTAAAAGTGGTTTACCTCTGGCTGCCAATGGAAAAGGATGCACCAGGAAAAAATATTCTTCCTCTAACATATGAACAAATATGAATTCTGACGTCTAACAAGATGCCTAATGCTCTCCTTAAGGCTGAGCAGGCAAAAATGAGTCATCGCGATTCGAGTTCTTCCAGCATACACCAAAGGAACTGGCTCCAAGATTTTAATATTACTGAATGAAGTCCCAAATGAATGGAGTCATTGTTCACTGACTACACAGAGCAAGAATACATCCTCTATTTAATTTAAGGCTGGTGTGTGACATTTACATGTTGTAAGGAATTCATAGTAACAAAGCCCTAACCGGTTTGGCTCAGTGGATAGAGCGTCGGCCTATGGACTGAAGGAATTCATAGTAACAGACTAAACTGGCTACTTGAAGGAACTCTTATCAGTAGCAAACCAGGAAGGTTCTTCAAAGGAATCACTACCAGCACTTTCATTAAGAAGTGTTTTTGGAAGTGAAACTCTTTAAATTTTAACTCTTTAAAATTTCCCCAAATGGACAATCTAAATGTGTGCCTGTGACTTTACTAGACAAGGCTGCCTTGCAGTTCTCAGTCAGATTTTTATGCTTGCGTCCTACATAAGCACCCAGAGAAGGGCAGCGTTAGCCCAGCGGATGAGAAATCCCACCCCATGTCCTAACTCAAAACAAAAGGCAAATACTCACTGCACGCTTTTTGAGGCATCGGCAACGGACACGGTGCTGTCGTGGCTGACCCAGGCCAGTCGACTCCCACTGGCGGAGAAGCTGACGCCATGCACCCAGCCACCAGTACCACTGCCACCAAACTCTGACATCAGCTGACCAAAAGGCATCTTGCTGCCCCAGGGTGTACTGGCTGGCTTTTCATCCACTTCTTTAATGTATGCAGAAAACACCCTGCAGTTTAAGGGGCAGGGGGAGAAGGAAAAAGTAAATGATAATGTATGTATATAGAAATAGGCCACAGGCCACTGCTACAAGGTGTCTCAGAATTCAGGGTAAAATATGATGGGACAAATTAACATACAGAAACCTCTGAAGACACAGAATGGTTCTAGGCTGCCTACTGGTCAATCCATACTCAATCAACTAATAGTCAGAGTGCTGCTCTAGGAGTGCCATTCTAGAAATAAAGAACACAAAAGCTCTTCCCTCCTGAAGTGTACATTCTGGGGGAGGACTGTGCTGTCCCACCCTGCCTTGCCCATGGGAGATCTGGCTAAATGAGCACAGTGTTCTTTCTTGTCTACTTTACCTTCATTCTCAACACAGTATTTCAAGAAGCCCACACAGTCAAATGGTAGGAGAAAGGAAACTATTTGCCACTCTACAAAAAACCAATAGCATGAACTCAAAGAAAGGGACATCTAAAGTGAAAGCGGAGGGAGGCCGTGGGAAGAGCAGGCAGGCTTTCCCCAGCACTGTCAGGCAGCGGGCTGTGCTCACTGTACCCTCAGGCCACTGTCAGGCCTTTGTGGCAGGTATAGTCTGGGATGAAGGTGGGTCCTTTCTAGCCTGCTATCATCAGTCTCTTTCTCTAATTCCTTGAGGTGGGAAGAAAAAGGGATAAAGAACAGCTGGGAATCTATCCTTTTATTTCCTTCTGCCCTCCAATGCTGTATCTATTTTGTAAAGCTTCTTTTCAAAAACTCCTGAACCTAAAGACTCCCTAAATGACCTAGAATATTTCCCTCCAAAATGACAATGGCAGTAGCAGCTCTGGAAGAGTCAGGGCACCAGAGAGGGGAAGGGCACAGTGAGCATCTGTAAGTTAGATGATGTGACCTTAGCATCACTGTGCTTTAAATCAGCGTCACAATGGCTACTGCTTTAGTCATCTGAGTCCAGGAAAGAACGGTGGTTCTCAACTGCGCCAACTCCAGTGTGTGAACGGAACAGACCCATACCCAAAGGAGCGCAAGTCAAAGCAAAGTTTATTTCTAGAAATTATTATTAACAAAAGAATGTAACCTATTTTCACAACCAGATTTTTAGTATAGCTTGATGATCCAGGTGGTATGATCACTTAGTAACACTTAGCTCCATCTCCTAAGGGAGCTAAAATGACTGGGTAACATCACAAAAACAAAACTCCTAAATATGAAAAATTCTAGAGAATATCTATGTATTTTTACTCTTATATTGGTTCATAAGTATAAGAACCAATATTTTTCCAAAAAGTGCCTTGACACTACTGAATCCCCCTCTCATAGTCAAACTGTCACACACATATTTACTAGTAAGAAAAACTAAAAAGACCCCAAAAAACAAACAAACAAAAACATCCTTGGGTATTCTTTAAAAAAATATATATTTTTTTATTGATTTCAGAAAGGGAGAGGGAGAGAGAGATAGTAACATCAATGATGAGAGAGAATCATTGATCGTCTGCCTCCTGCATGCCCCACACTAGGGATCGAGCTCACAAGCTGGGCATGTGTCCTGACCAGGAATCAAACTGTGACCTCCTGGTGCATAGGTAGACACTCAAACACTGAGCCATACCAGCCGGGCTCCCTTGGGTATTCTTGTATATAAATCACTAGTCAGGTTTTCTGGAAATTCTCCACATACCCTATTGGAAAAAGATGCATCCCATCTCCCAATCCACCACATAGTCAACATAAAGCAACACTTATTTACTTTTCTTCTGGCTAAAGGGAAAAAAAAAGCCTGTTGATAAAGAACAACTTTAAAAAAAGCAATTACTTGTACAATCCTTAAAGGAGTTAGCCAAGTAGCTGTGTTTCTTCTAGCCTCATACTAATAACAAAAAGCTTTAACTGAAAAGGAATAGCACAACAATAGCTCAGCAGTACACTGTTCAGCTATGTTTTGTTGGTCTTAGTTTCACTCTGGAATGTGCAGAGTCTGCTGCCTGGGTATAAAATGAGAAATAATACTGTAGTTGAGGGAGAGGGAGAGGGAGAAGGAGAGGAGAACACTTCCCCCATTCCAAACCATAGGTGTTCTGCCTAAGGAAAACTTCCCTATCCCCACCCTTTCATCTTCCTTCTCTCATACTTCCAAGTCCACTTCTTTCTCCTTTGTTGATTTATGCACTTGCTTTTTAGTCCCTTTTCTAGACCACAAGCTCCTTTCATCAGAATCCCTTATGGTACCTAGCATAGTACCTTACAAAAAGGGACCTTAAAAATATTTGTTGAAAGATGACTGATGAACAACTCAAGTCTGTCTACCCATTCTCATTTGTTCCCACCTGCATTTGAAATCACATGATCCTGCTGCCAGCAAAACATTGTTGGGATGCCAATCCAAGCTGAGGACCGTGGAGCGAATTGGCTTTTTAATGTGCTTGCTTACCCACCTACAAAAGGAGAAAATCTATTTTAGTTTATCCATAAATCAAATGACTTACAAATATGTCAGGCAAAAACATCAATGCATGGTTCTTATGTGACTACCAGGTTTCCTGCCAGAGAGAGGGTGAATTTCTAAAGGAAGAGAAGAAGAGAGAAAGAACCACAGATTGTCCCTTCCATATACCTGTCTTAGGTTTTGACATTCTTATCAGGGCAACTGGTTCTGAACTTTTTGGGTTACCAGGGCATCCTCTTTAGTAAGTATGTTTATGGATGAACTTTGGTAGTGCCCCATGGAGTTTCAGATTATGTCTGACTTTAACCTTTGAAATAAAAATAGAGTTTTGAAATTATTTGAATTTTTATTGTAAATATTCAGTGATTTGTTATTTCATTTTAGGTTAAGTTTGGGTTGTAAGATAGCTTAATTTCCTTTCCAAGTTTCCAATATTAAGTACGTTTCTGGAAGCTTCAAATTCTTTTTAACTTTTTTTTTCAGTGAAAACTTAATTATGAAATCAGCAGAACCTCTTATTGGAGATTAGACTCTAATTCTCTAGTTTCACTTAAAGAGTTTATTTATGTCTAAAATCAGTCATGATTCTGGCATAATTTCTGCCCTTAAACTGCTGCTTAAAAACCAATCATGCTCTGTTCAACACGAGAGGCTTAATATTGTGCCAAATGTCTTTTGTTGAAAGCTAAATTGTTTTTCTATACAATCTTGTTCTTAGGAACCTATCTGAAAAATTTCATTCGGAAAAATAGACAATATTCTACTTGTTTAATACAGTTATTTTAAATTGAAGGCTTAAAGATTGTTTTAAAGTACTCACATCATACCAATAAAATATTGTTTTATAGCTGAGAAACTCCCCTAAACATACAGCTTGTTCAAATGACACTTTGTACTACAATAAAGCCCAATTTACCTATATTTGAGACTATTTTTTAATGAATAAAAATGTGAACAATCACTGACATTGAGGGATACCTAGAAAGAAAAATTGTTTCTTACATATGTGTTATAGTGAGCCTTCTAAATGTTTTTTAGCAGGCAGCATTTTGTTAGCCTTAATTTTACACATGTTTGAAGAAAAAATGCATGTCTAAATGCATAATTCAATTTTGCTGCAAATTCAGACTTTCTTTTCAAAGAATCAAAATTTCCAAGGTTTTACTAAATTACAAAGTGTAATATGATAATCCCTTCCTTTCACTGTTTCAGCAGAAAGCAAACAGTAGGAACACTAACACAAAGAGTAATGTGTACTAATGTGCTATTTTTAGTGCAAATACATACTGCCAGTTTCCTACTAAATGACATTCCAGGCCAAAGAGTAGTTATGCCTTCCTGAATACATGTCAGGTAGAGCAGAGTTGTTTTCTTATCAAAATAAGAAGGAAGGAATAGTTAAAGTAAATTACTTAGCCATAAAATAAACCTCTGCATTTTGACTGGCTTAGCTACAAGTGATTTATAAAAAAAGTACAACAGGCTGATTATATATCCAAGATCCTGACCAATTTTTACTTCAATGGCTTAAACAAGTAAAGCATTATACCAAGGCACAGATTTGGTTAACAAATAAACTTTAAAGAAAGGAGAACATTGTTATTTGTAAGAATCCTAGAAATTTAAGTGGATAGAAATAAGAGGAAAAATAATTATTTCTCAGGACACTGGGAATCTTTCAAGTTTATAATTTATCTATCAGAGTAAGAAAACAGCAATTTGGATTGTACAGAGTCAGAAGAGTAGTAATATGTTATAGAACAAACAAGTTAGGAGATCAGAACATGGAAACCACATATTAGTATGAGAAAGATGTGAGGTTTGACTCAATGTGCACACAGGAATGAAAAACGTGCAATCAGAGAATGGAAAATTCAGAGGAAAAAAAACCTTCAGATGAAGAAAAACTGAAGCAATAGTTAAGCCTTAACCCAGTGTCTCAAGAAGTCACCAAGAACATAGTGATTCTACAGAGAGAAGTAAAAAAACTCAGATGTTGCTCACCAGTCATTTTCAGACTCAAAGTAACAAACAGAAATGAGTCTTGCTCCACTTCCCACAGCAAATTTGTTCTCTAGTGGGGACCACTTGACAAAAGTGGCTGCACGGTTAATTCTCAGGATCACCAGGGTTGGCTTCCAGACACCATCTTTCTGACTCCAGACATAGGCATTGCGGTCTGCCCCGCAAGTGACGATGCGGTCGCTCTTGGGAGCCCAGTCGATACCTGCAAGTGAGACGTGGCATCATCTACTTTGCCAGTGGTCGGCAAACTCATTAGTCAGCAGAGCCAAATATCAACAGTACAACGACTGAAATTTCTTTTGAGAGCCACATTTTTTAAACTTAAACTATATAGGTAGGTACATTGTTATTAACTTAATTAGGGTACTCCTAAGCTGGCCTTTGCTAAAAACGTCCTCAATCTGATTGAGGTACGTTCACTGAGGTCGACCTCTTCCAACTCTCCCATCCACACTCGTCTTGTAGCCAGTCTCACTCAACTCGTGCATGAATCGTGCGCGCGTATCCCGCAGCCAGCCTGCGCCGCGTCTCCCCGACCGACCTACCGACCAGCACCCCTCACTTCTTCTAACGCCACTTCTTCAAAATAGACTCGCCCAGGCCGAAAACCGACTTCCGCGCATGGGCCACGAAGTTTCAATCACACTGTACGTGCGCGCCCGCACGTGGTATTTTGTGGAAGAGCCACACTCAAGGCCAACGAGCCGCATGTGGCTCGCGAGCCGCGGTTTGCTGACCACTGGCCTAAGCCAATGACAACTGACATGGCACAGGCAGGTGGCCATTGGTACGGTGGGGACGGATGTGGTCCTGATCAACACATCACAAGGGCAAGGATGTTTCTCCACAAAGTTCTGTAACTTGGGATCCTCCATGAGGCCAGGTAGAACAGAGCTGTTTTTATAATTGCAGAGGTTACAAAACTAAGCAGGGACATTCTTTCCACCCATTCACAGGTTTCTAAAGATATCTGGTCTGAAGTCCTTTATCTTCCCTATAAGATTTTTTTTGCCTGAAAGTACCTTTATTTTTTATTTGTTTTTATTGTTGTTGTTAATCCTCACCTGAGGATATTCGCCCCCTCCCCCATTAATTTTTAGAGAGAGTGGAAGGGAAGGGGAGAGACAGAGTCCTTATCTTTTGGAGATACAAATTGAAATATGAAATGATACAATGTCTGGAATGTGCCTCAAAATAGTACAGGCAGAGAGTTGAGAACAAGACAGGCTGTGTGTTGATAACTGTTGAATCTGGGTGATGAGTATACAAGGAGCTCATTACATTATTGTCTATTTTTGTTATCTGTTTAAAACTGTCCACTGTAAAATGTCTTTGTGTGTGTGTGTGTGTTTTAAAAGATAGCAATGAAACATTTAACACAAAAGAATAAACTCACAGAAAAAAACAAAACACCAGGACTCTGATATCCCTTTGATGTTTGCTATACTCTTTCTCTGCAGCACTGACTAGTCTTTTCTTCTAGAAAGCTTCAGAAGATAAATTTTATTTTTCTGTAGTTACTATCTTTCTGAGAAAATATGTTTGATCCTTGGTCTTCTGCCACAGAGTTATACTTAGATTTTTCCAACAATAGCTTTTTAAGACTTAAAAAAATCATTTGAGCATTTGGACAGAAAACAGGCCCAAGTTCAAAGGATTCCAAAAAAGAAGCAGGGGAGAAAAAGGACACAACTAAATATTTCACTTTTTTGGCTATCTCTCTGGTCTTTCATCTTAGTCCTTTCTCATGTAAAAGTATTTCCTAATGCAAAATTTCCAATTTGTAATTTTTGAATGTTATTATTTTTAGGCCATAAGGCCACTGGCAAAGGGACTTAGAGAAAATAGGCCAAACCTAACAGAAATAACGTTGTGGGAAAGCAATAGCAACAAAAATAGAAATTATGTCTTTGGTGGGGTTTGGTAATATATAGTCAGTCAGATCAGGGTGCTCACTAGCATTATATACAAATCCTGGTAAAAGCAAAAAGGGATGGTCACAAGTTTTTGCTGGAGAATACAATGTAAAGATTGCAGAAGATCAAAACATGTTATGTTTTTCTCTGATTTGGGGGAAGGAGATCTTTAAGCTAATCAGTATGTTAGGGGTTAGAAGCAAAATTTCAGGGTCTGAATTAAAAAAAAAGTCACCACCAGTCCCTTGGCTGCCCACTTAAGTGCAAATACAACTGAGAGGAGAGGAAACCCAAGACTGCAGTGAGAAATTTGTATATGAAAAGTTATGAAGAATAAATTAAAAAATATTTTTATTGATTTCAGAGAGGGAGAGGGAGAGATAGAAACATCAATGAGAGAATCATTGATTGGTTGCCTCCTGTATGCCCCACACTGGGAATTGAGCCCACAACCTGGGCATGTGCCCTTGACCAGAATAGAACCCAAGACCTTTCAGTCCGCAGGCTGACGCTCTATCCACTGAGCCAAACTGGTTTCGGCAAAGAATAAATTTTTATGTGCTTGGCCAAACTTTTTAAAGCAAGGGTTGAGGAACATCCAGCCCGTGGGACGTATAAGGCCTGATAAATTATTTGGTCTGGTCTTGCCAAGGCATTAGGGGTGAGTTAATTAAATGTTTGACCAAATATAGCAGGCTAATTTTTAAGCTGATAATTTTGTATGGCCCACGAATGATGTTATAAATATTCAAATGGTCAACTCTTCAAGAAAACAGGATAAAAAAGAAACTATAGTAAGGGTCAAAGAACAAGAGTTCTTTCTAAACAGAGCAATAGATGAACATGTTTTTTAAAAATTATTTATTTGTTAACTAGAGGCCTGGTGCATGAATTTGTGCACTAGTGGGGTCTCTCGGCCTGGCTTGCGGGATTGGGCTGAAACCAGCTCTCTGACATCCCCCGAGGGGTCCTGGATTGCGAGAGGGTGCAGGCCAGGCCAAGGGACCCCACCGGTGCACGTTCGGGGCCAGGGAGGTATGCAGGAGGGTGGCCAGCCGGGGGGGTGGGGGTGGGGTGGGAATCACGGGAGGGCTCCAGGGTGTGTCTGGCCTGTCTTGCTCAGTCCTGATCAGCTGGACCCCAGCAGCAAGCTAACCTACCAGTTGGAGCGTCTGCCCCCTGGTGGTCACTTAGGATATTAGGACAGTTGGACACTTAGGATATTAGGCTTTTATTATATAGGATGCTCACCTGAGGATATTTTTTCCATTGATTTTTGGAGAGAGAGGGAATGAGGAAATGAGAAAGGAAGGAAGGGAGGGAGGGAGGCAAAGAGAGAGACAAAAAGAAATATTGACGTGAGAGAGACATATCAATTGGTTGCCTCCTGCATGTGCCCCAACTCAACATGGGCCTGGGATCTAACCTGCAACCCAGGTATGTGCCCTTGACCAGGAATACAATGCGAGTCAATGCTCCAACCACTGAGCACACCTGCCAGGGCTGTTTTTTGTGCTTTTAAAAAAAAATAGCCAGACATGACTTCACAATAAAGTAATACAGTCTCTTGGAATTTGGTATCAGGTTTTGGTTCACTAAATTCTGAAAACCAGTGTAAAAGTTCTACATTTTTACCTTTTCTCCTCCTCCTTTTACTCTTGCTTAATAAAACTCGGCCCTGCTCTACTTGCCACCTCTATCCACCTATTAATAGTTTTAGCCAAAGAAAAAAGTTAATATACATCAGGAATCTGCAGGAGAGCCAATGCTTTAAGATCTAATCTTCTGCAAATCAGCATGAGAAAGATAAAAACTCAATGGAAAAATGAAGAGAAATTATAAATAGCAATGTTGCACTCACACACACACAAAACCCAGATGACTAATAAACTGAAAATATGCCCAACCTTTCCATTAATCATGAAAATGCACCTTTCACTCATCAGTCTGACCATATCAAGAATGTGTGAGGTATGGTAAAATAAGCACTCTCATAGAAGGCTGGTGGGATGAAGGCTATTTGATGATACCTAGCAAAGTTGACGATGTATATATTCCTGTGATACAACAAGCCTACCATATATGAATATTCACACATGTACAAAGAGATCTGCACAGGAATACTCGATTAGCACTTCAATGTAATAAGGAAAAATGGGCAACATAAATGTCCTTCGATGGAGGAAAGAATAAATGAGGGATGAAATGCCAAACAGCAGTTAAAAGGAACAAACTTGACTTAGATACATTAACACAGAACTCACAAACTATGTGGAATGCAAAAGCTGCAAGAGATGTATGATATGATGCCATTTTGGCAGCCCCTGAAAAATACTAGCCAACAGTACTAGAGATTGCTTATGAATATATATACATGTATGTAAAAGTGTTAAAAATGGACTAGGACAATGTCATACTAAATTATAGCCTGCCTTCTGAGGTACAGGAACAGAACTGGTGTTGAGAGGGGACTTTATCATTATCCTATCTAATAAAGAGGGAATATGCTAATTGACTGCCACACCCTCAAATATGGCAGCACCCACAGCCAATAAGGAGGGAATATGCTAATTGACTGCCCCACCCTCAAAGATGGCGGTGCCCACAGCCAATAAGAAGGGAATATGCTAATTACTGCCACACCCTCAAAGATGATGGCACCCACAGCCACAAGATGGCCGGCAGGGGAGGGCAGTTAGGGTTGACCAAGTCAGCAGGGGAGGGCAGTTGGGGGCGACCAGGCCTGCAGGGGAAGGCAGTTGGGGGGGCCCAGGCCGGCAGGGGAGGGCAGTTAGGGTTGACCAAGTCAGCAGGGGAGGGCAGTTGGGGGCGACCAGGCCTGCAGGGGAAGGCAGTTGGGGGGGCCCAGGCCGGCAGGGGAGGGCAGTTAGGGGCAATTGGGCTAACAGGGGAGCAGTTAGGCATTGATCAGGCTGGCAGGGGAGTAGTTAGGGGGTGATCAGGCTAGCAGGCAGAAGCAGTTAGGGGCAATCAGGCAGGCAGGCAGGTGAGTGGTTGGGAGCCAGCAGTCCTGGATTGTGAGAGGGATGTCTGACTGCTGGTTTAGGCCCAATCCCAGGGATTGGGCCTAAACCAGCAGTCGGACATCCCCCAAGGGGTCCCAGATTAGAGAGGGTGCAGGCTGGGCTGAGGGACCTCCCTCCCATGCACGAATTTTGTACACCGGGCCTCTGGTCTAGAATAATATTGCTTGTTATTAAATACTAGAGGCCTGGTGCATGAAAATTAATGCACTGGATGGGGGGTCCCTCAGCCCAGCCTGCCCCACCTCACAGTCTGGGAGCCTTCAAGGGTGGGAGGCGACCCGGCAATCAGGGGAAGGTGACACCCTCCTCACACCCCTGCTGCTGCCAATGCCAGCAGCGCAAGCCTCGGCCGGCCCTGGTTACCTGAGCCTTGGGCAGCCCTGGGCAGTTGGGCAGCTGCCATCCGAGGCTTGCCTGCGCCTCGGGCTGGCCCTGGGCGGCTGGCGAGCTGAGGGGACTGCGTGCCTGCCGCCCCAGTGAGGCTGAGGGGACTGGGTGCTGCCATCTTGTGGTTGTGGGTGCTGCCACCTTTGAGGGTGTGGCAGTCAATTAGCATATTCCCTCCTTATTGACTGTGGGTGCTGCCATCTTTGTGACAGTGTGAGGGTCAATTAGCATATTCCCTCTTTATTAGATAGGATTTGTTTCCTAAGCTTTCTGGCACAGGAAAAAAAAGACATTTATCCTTCTTGTTGTTAACTCTGGGTGGTAGGTATATGGAGTTTGTTATATTACTCTTTGTCTTTTTCAGATTTTGGAATGTCTTCCTTGCCCCCAGAACAATATACAGAAAACTTTTGGAAGACATTGTGTTCCCGCAGCAGTTGGAAATTCAGTTTGGCTTACATTTTCACACAGCTGACATGCTGTCTAGTTTTCACTTTCACATCTCATCTCCTAATCTAAGATCCTTAGTCCTCATAGTAGGTTCAGTGTTTTCCATAACACTAGTTGAGTGTGCGTACCAACTGAGGGAAAACAAGCACTTAATAACTGAGATCAGTGTGGCTCAGTTGGTTGGAGCATAGTCCTGTACACTGAAAGGTGGCGGGTTCAATTCCTGGGCAGGACACATATCCAAGTTGCAGATTGGATCCCTAGTCAGGGCACATATGGATGCTTCTCTCTTGTATTGATCTTTATCTCTTTCTCTCTCCCTTCCTCTCTCTAAAATCAATAAAAAAAATTGAGATCACTATTAAGCTATTTTCTGAAAATTTCTAAAGAAAACCCAGTAAATGCTATACAACTTTGAATATTATGGCTGACTTACTTTATTAGGCTCTTTATTTAAATGGAAGAGTGTTAAATTTGAAAATACTGTATTAAGTTCATGGTTATCTTACCTGTGATGTGTCCATTGTGCTCCTTGAGTTCATGAGCTTTCACCCACTGGCTCCCGTTCTTTTTATAGATGTGGACTTCATGATTATTGGGGCTAAGGGCAATCTCTGGAGAAAAAAGTCAATAGTTAACACTTGAACTTGAAACTGTCACACAAGAAAGGGATATATTACAGTTGGGATTGAAAAAGTAGAGTGAAGCTTGACCAGGGTGGCTCAGTGGTTGAGCATCGACCTATGACCCAGGAGGTCTCAGTTCAATTCCCAGTCAGGGCACATGCCTGGGTTTTGGGCTCAATCCCCAAAAGGGAGAATGCAGGAGGTAGCCAATCAATGATTCTCTCTCATCATTGATGTTTGTATCTCTTTCCCTCTCCCTTCCTCTCTGAAATCAATAAAAATATATTAAAAGAAAAACTAAATTTAAACATTCACTTTATCAGAGACATATACAACTGTCAAAGATTCTAATCAGTAAGAAATAAATGATGTTGCTATATTTAGTTGATATATAGTTGACCCTTGAACAACACAGGTTTGAACTGCACAAGTTCAATTATATGTGTTTTTTTCAATAAATACAGTGGCCCTCTGTGTCCACGTGTTTCACCCATGGATTCAATTGTCTGCTGATAGAAAACATTATTTTCCATCTGCAGTTGGGAATCTGTGGATGTGGACGGCAGACTGTATGCCACTTTACATAAGGGACTTCAGCATCCTTGGATTTTAGTATCCAAGGGAGATACTAGAACCACTGGCCCTCACATATGAAGGGTTAACTATAGTTATGTTTTTGAGGAGTCAAAACTTATACATGAATTTTCAACTGCAGGGGGGAAGGGGGGAGGGTCAGTGCCCCAAACCTTGCATTGTTCAAGAGGCAATTATAATTTTAGCCTGAAGTAAAGATATTTGACATTTTAGCTCACCTGTACAACATTATTAGTAACAAATATTTAATTTCTGTTAGACTTTCTAAAATGCTGAAAATAGCGCAGAGGCTCTTATTACTGCTATCATGGACCCATGCTGGAACCATCATAGTTTATAAAAAAACCCAACAACTTGATTCTGCTGGTAAACTATATCAAAGTTTTCCTTTAAATAAAGCCATTATAAATCACAAAATAAAATTATGTTTTCAAGGGAAATCTCTTGGACCAATCCAAGATAATAAGAACATACATATCACCCTAGCTGGTTTCGCTCAGTGGATAGAGTGCTGGCCTGTGGATTTAAGAGTCCTGGGTTCGATTCCAGTCAAGGGCACATGTCTGGGTAGTGGGCTTGATCCCCAGTAGGGGGTGTGCAGGAGGCAGCCAATCAATGATTCTCATCATTGATGTTTCTATCTCTCCCTCTCCCTTCTTTTTTGAAATCAGTAAAAATATATTTTTTAAAAAATCCTAATTTTAATTTTAAGAAGTCAAATTTTTTAATGGATCAACTATAATGTGAAAAAACAAAATAAGTTTTAAAAAATCAACACATAGATATGTATATTCTTTTTTTTTTTTTTTCAGAGAGGAAGGGAGGAGAGAGAGAAACATCAATGAATGAGGAGAGAGAATCACTGATTGGCTGTCTCCTGCATGCCCCCTACTGGGGATCAAGCCCAAAACCTGGGCATGTGCCCTTGACCAGAACTGAACCCGGGACCCTTCAGTCCTCAGGCCGATGCTCTCTCCACTGAGCCAAACCAGCTAGGGCTAAAATTAGGATCTTTGAAATGTTAGGTCAATCTTTTAATAGTTTCTCCATCTATTATGTCACCTATCCTCAACTCGTTAGGAAAGCTACATCTGTCTTGCAGATAAATTGTGGAACTGGGTAAATATCTAGGTCTAAAATCCTAAGACTTTCAATGCTTTCTGGAAAAGTTATATACTTCTCTAAATTTCTAGGGATTTCAAAAGCTAAATCTAAAGTTAAACCTGAAAAATGTTATAAATTTCAAATTATAATTTGGCATAACAAAAGTTTGACTTAATATATTGAATTTATAAAGTAGTTTAAATGAGGACAATAACAATTTGTATTTTTGTTAAAAACTAGAGGTCCAGTGCATGAAATTTGTGCACTAGGGGTGGGGGTGGGGATGGGGGTGGGGGGAAAGGTTGTCTCTCAGCCCGGCCTGGGCCTCTAGCAGTCTGGGACCCCTTGGGGGATGTCCACCTGCTGGCAGAACAGGCCTAAGCCAGCAGGCAGACATCCCTCTCACAGTCTGGGACCCCTCGCTCCTTACCGCCCGCCTGCTTGCTGCTCCTTAGCGCTGCTGTGGAGGCAGGAGAGGCTCCCGCCACCGCCACTGCGCTTGCCAGCCATGAGCCCGGCTTCTGGCTGAGCAGCACTCCCCCTGTGGGAGTGCACTCACCACCAGGAGGCAGCTCCTGCATTGAGCGTCTGCCCCCTGGTGGTCAGTGTGCATCATAGCGACTGGTCGTTCTGCCTTAACAGGCACTTAGGCTTTTATTATATAGATTATATAGATAATTGGAAATACTCCAAAAACTATTTTTAGATGGGAAAGTGGAGACAGAAGATACAGGAAACTCAAATATGAAGCTCTGGATTCACCATCCTGCATGCTACATATTTTCAAATACCCAATATAGAGGCTCATATCTAGGTTTTCACCTAACAATAACCCCGAGTGTACTGTTTATGTACCAAGGATTTATTTAAAAATAAGAGTAAGCCCTGGTTGGTGTAGCTCAATGGTAGAGCTTCGACCTGAGCACCCAAGTGTCATGGGTTCGATTCCAGGTCAAGGGCATGCACCTGGGTTGCAGGTTCAATCACTGGCCCCGTCGGAGCGTGAGGGGGAGGCAACCAATCAATGTATCTCTTTCACATCTCTCTCTTTCTTTGTCCCCCTCCCCTATCTTCCATTCTCTTTCTTAAAAAAAAAAAAAAGGAAAAAATATCCTCGGTGAGGATTTACACACACACACACACACACACACACACACACACGCAAAATAAGAGTGAACCATGTCTGAATGGCTTTTAAAAAGATAGTGAATTTATAGATTCAAAGAAATCTCTATAAAATTCCAGCTGGCTTCTTTGCAGAAATTAATAAGCTGATCCTAAAATTCATATGGAAACCTAAGGGACCCAGAAGAGCCAAAACAATCTTGAGAAAGAAGTACAAAGTTGAAATTTACACTTGCCAGTTTCAGAATTTATTACACAAAGCTCTAGGAAGCAAGACAGTGTGATCCTAGCACTAGAATAAACATAAAGATCAATGGAACAAGATTGAAAGTCCAATAAATTTACATTCAAGAGTCTTCAACAAATGTTGCTGGGACAACTGGCTATCCACATGCAAAAGGATAAATGAAGCTGTACAAAAATTAACTCAAAATGGATCCAAAACCTAAATATAAGTGCTAAAACTATGAGACTCTTAGAAGGAAACATAGGTATACGTCTTCGTGACCTCAAATTTGGCAATGGCTTATTAAATATACAGCAAATACATAAGCATTAAAAGAAAAATAAATTGGAGATTTTAAAAATGGAAAACTATTGTGCTTCAAAGAACACCATCAAAAAAGTGAAAAGACAGTCTACAGAATGGGAGATTTTACAAATCATATACCTGATAAGGGTTTGTATCCAGATTATATAGAGAACTCTTACAATTCAACAATAATAAGACAATCCAATTTTAAAAATGGGGAAAGGATCTGCATATACATTTCTCCAAAGAAGATATACAAAAAGCCAATAAGTGGGCATACTCCTTTATACCCACTAGGATAATAGTGGGTATAGGGCTGTAATAAAAAACACAGATAATAGCATGTGTTGATGAGGACGTAGAGAAAATGGAACCTTCACATACTGCTAATGAGAATATAAATTGGTGTGGCCACTTTGGTAAATGGTCTGGCAGTTTCTCAAAATGTTCAATATAATTACCATATGACCTGGCAATTCAACTCCTAGGTATATGCTCAAGAGAAGTGAAAACATATGTCCACATAAAAACTTGTATGTGAATGTTCACAGCAGCAATAGTCACAACAGCCAAAAAGTTGAAACAACCCAAATATCCACCAACAAATAAACTAAATGAGGTATGTCTATAAAATATAAAAAGGAATGAAGCTGATACGTGCTACAAAATGGATAAATCTTGAAAACATTGTGCTCAGTGAAAGAAGCCAGATGTAAAAAATCACAAATTGTATGATTTCACTTATAAAAAATGTCCAGAATAGGCAAATCCATGGAGACAGAAAGTAGATTAGTAGTTACCTACAATTGGAAGTTTTGAGGAAGACTGGAAGTGACTGCTAATGGGTATAGAGCTTCTCTTTGGAGTGATGAAAATATTCTAAAATTAGATAGTGGCCGAAACTGGTTTGGCTCAGTGGATAGAGCGTCGGCCTGCGGACTGAAGGGTCCCAGGTTAGATTCCGGTCAAGGGCATGTACGTGGGTTGCGGGCACATCCCCAGTAGGAGATGTGCAGGAGGAAGCTGATCGATTTTTCTCATTGATGTTTCTAACTCTCTATCCCTCTACCCTCCTCTCTGTAAAAAATCAATAAAATATATTTTAAAAAATAAAATAAAATAAAATTAGATAGTGATGACTGTTGCATAACTCTGTGAATATATTAAGATCACTAAATTGTATTCTTTAAAAGGATGAATTTTATGTTATGTGAACTCTATCTTAATAAAGCTCTTATTTTTTTAAAAAGATTGAATAAAATTAAATTTTTAAAATAACTCATGGGCCTAACAGTACACTTCTGTTTCTAGATTTTTTTTGTTCATTCTCTTTGTCATATTACCTGTCACTCTGCTTGCTATACATGCCTACTTCTAAGAGTCTTCTCCATCCCTTTCTAGTTTGCTGGAGCTAGAAAACGAGAAACTCAAGCTTGTTATGAATAATACTAGAGGCTCTGTGCACGAATTCGTACATGGTTGGGGTCCAGCCGGCCTGCCCCGTGGGGGCCATTGGGGCCGGGGCAGTGGGGGGGAGGGGATTCGAGAGGTTGGCCGGCCAGCCCGACCCCGATTGGGGTGGGGAGGGGCCGATCGGGGGCAGGGGCGTCTGGGGGGAGGGGCTGAGGGCGGGTGGAGGGGGTGCCCGATAGGGCTGGTTGGCCACCGCAGTGCGTGTCATAGCGACCGGTCGTCTGGCTTTTACATATATAGATAGTAAATACAAGTTAGTACTGCCCTTCGTACCTCAGGAATAAACCATATGTCTCTGAAACAGCTTATTTCTAGGTCCTAGAATTCTGACTAAATGCTGGGTGAGTGTGGTATTATGGCACAACCATTCCAAACAATGGATTCAAATATGTCTCTGATATAAACTGTCCTCTAGTGCAGCAGTTGCCAACCTTTCGGACCGCACAGACCACCAGTGGTCCGCAGACCACCGGTTGGTGACCGCTGCTCCAAAGGTTTTCTTAAACCAGTGGTCGCCAGCCTTTTGGACCTCACGGACCACCAGTGGTCCTCGGACTACCAGTTGGCGACCGCTGCTCTAGTGGTATAGTAAAAAAAGTGGACAAGGAGCCAGAAGGCTTGGGTGCTAGCAAGGGCTCTAACATTAACTTGGTGTGTAACCACTGGAAAGTCCAACATTTTAGGCCTCAGTTTCTATATCTGCAAACCGAAGGACTGACCCAGTTCCCTTCTGAACCTTTTCACATATGACAATAATATATATGATCACTAAAAATACCTACATCTAAAAGTATCAAAGGTACCAAAATAAAGGCACAAAGTTAATAGCATACTTACGGGTACGATCCCTGTTCCAGGCATGACAGGTGATTGGCTCTAGTAAAAATTGATGCAGGGACATTATTCTTAGTGGTTTCAGAGGATAGAAAGCTGCAAGGACAACAACAAAAAAAGCATGTAAAATGACAGGCAACCAATATTTACATTGTCTGGGGATCTTGAAATGTTTGGGAATAAATAAAACATATTCTCCCATTAAAAAAGAATCTCAATGTCAAAACTTAACCATTTAAACACAACTAGTATTGTAACCACTAATATATAATTTATTCTGTCAAGGGTCATCCAGGGACTTTAAAACCATGGGTTAAAGATTGTTGGGGTACAGAATATTCAGACAGTCTCAAGTGATCATCCTACAGATTGCTTACTAATTACAAAGGGAAAAACATGCTATTACAATAAAAAAAAATCTGGCAGTCACCACTTTAACTGAATGATCACATTTAGTATCATAAATAGTGAACCAATATAATCTGAGGACCTCCTGATGGGAGGCAACATGAAGTGCACATCATCATTTATAAGTAGTGACCACTTAATGTATCACCCAGACCAGAATACTTTTAAGAGAGCAAAAAGAGCCCAGCCGGCGTGGCTCAGTGGTTGACCATCTACCTATGAACCAGGAGGTCACGGTTCAATTCCAGGTCAGGGCATATGCCTGGGTTTCGGGTTTGAGCCCCAGTGTGGGGTGTGCAGGTGGCAGCTAGTCAATGATTCTTTCTCATCATCGATGTTTCCATCTCTCTCTCCCTCGCCCTCTCTGTCTCTGTCTCTCTCTCCCTCCCTCCCCCTCAGAAATAACTAAAAATATATTTTTAAAAAAGAGAGAGCAAAAAGGGGCACTATTAATAATTATGCTGTGATAACAGGTCACAGGACTATCCTGGAGTAACCTGGTAATATGGCCAACCTAGCTATGAAGTATTTATGCAAAATATATTTACTCTAAATCTAATAAAAATCCACACTCAATTTCCAGTTTATAGAAAAGAAAAAGAATTAGTTAAAGAACATAATAGGGAAATAAACAGTTAAAACCAGAGTGTGTGCCATATTATAAAACAACTGGTCTGGACTATTAAAAAAAGATAAGTTGGGGTGAGGACTATTTTAGATTAAAAGAACTATGAAAATCAAAATTGATATGTGAAACTTGATTGTAATCTGTATTTTTAAAATAGCCATAAAGGACATTTTGTATAACAGAGTAAATTTGAATTTGGGCTCATATTGTGTAACAATACAGAATTATTTTCAATTTCTTAACTATAATGATTTGCCCTCAGGTAGGATAATGTCCTAACTCTCAGACAATAAAGATGATGAAGTGTCATGATGTTTTCTGTTATTTTCAGTCCTTCAGAACATGTAGATATATAAAGAGCATACGTGGCAAACGTTAACAACTGGTGAATCCAGGCTAAGAGTATGCAAGTATTTGTTATATTACTCTCTAACTTTTTATTGTAACTAAATGAAAAGCAGGAATCTGTGAAATATCACTAAATTAAAAACCAAATAAAATTCTCTATATTATTTTATAGACACCCAAATCTAGATCCACTGAAGAAGCAACCATTACCTGAAATAGGAGAAATTTTTTCAAAAAGCACCCCATTTTATAATTTCTGAGAGGCACTCTCACAACATTCTGAAGTTTCAATACACTTTTAAGTACAAGTCAAATTAACCTAGGGTGGAGACTGAAATGTGAAATAGGAATTCTGATGTAAGTAGGAAATAAAAGCAAGGGCCAAGAAGGTTGTGAACAAAGTTGAGCAGACAAAGCAGAAGTTAATTTCAGTGGAAAGCAGAAAAAATGTCTCTGCTAATTGTTGTAAAGGAACCCAAAGGTCAAAAAGAGATAAGTGCACCCTTAAATAAAACATTCGATAGCTTGAACTGACAGAGATGTCAGTGTTTCACCTTTTATTCCAAGTGTGAAGATGGTTAGGACATTAATTTTTTACTTTTGCGTGTTCTAGAAAGCAAATTGCAATTCACAAATACAGAAAAAGCCTCTAATAGGAAATTACAACAATTAAAAAAATTCAAATGAGACTGCTAATTTTTTTTAAAAATAAATGTTCATATCTCTCTCTGTCTCTCCCCCAATTTTTTTTGGAGGCAACCAAAATTTTTGGTGGCCTTGTTTCCACAAGGCTTAAAAAAAAAATATGTTCAGCCCTGGCCAGATGATTGGAGCGCTGTCCAGTGTACCAAAAGGTTCCGGGTTTGGTTCCTGGTCAGGACACAAATCTAGGTTGCAGGTTGGATCCCTAGTTGGGGCACATATGGGAGACAACCAATCGATGCTTCTTTCTCACACTGATGCTTTTCTCTCCCATTTCCTCTTTCTAAAATCAATGAACATATCCTTGGGTGAGGATAAAACAAAACAAAACACCTTTCTGACTCACTGATGATTCTCTTTATCTCTGACATCAGATGCTGACCCATCACAACAGGTTTTACTCACAGTTACTCAAAATAACATGCAGTGTTACAAATATCTCCTTAATTAAAAGCACTTTAGTTTATAGCTACACTTTATAAGGTAATTTGTTAACTAAAACAAAATTGGTTTTCAAATTAAAAATTTAATGTGAAATCTATATGCAATAAAAGCACATATTTCATGTATAGTTAAAAAAGAACAGTTGCAGACAAAGGCTTTCTCATTCTTTAATTCCTTTTGTAAGTAATGAAGCAAAATGCCTTCAAAAGAGGTAAACATTTACACAATGGCATAATTACTTCTAATAATGCATTTCTAATTTTGTTATTATTATTCAAGAGCCATATTTGGACACACACTCAGACCTGTAATTCTTTTATAATCATGTGGCTATTTTAAGTCAGTAGGCCAAGATGACAGTCATGTTGGTCAAATTTATAAGGCACTCAGTACACGCAGCCTGTATTCATGGAACTCAGTGAATGGAGCATAATAATAGCTTGGATCTTGTACCAAGAAAAAGATAACTTCTGTCATAGGGTGATAATTATAATTTCTAAACTGTGATTAGTATTTAAGTGAAATTTCAAAACCTTTGTCTTCATGAGGGTAGAGAGGAGAAAAAGGGACAGACAAGAAGGTGGTGACATTAAATTTCATAAGCTTCTACTGATGACCTTTCATTGTCTAGCTCTAAGATGATTTATAGTATAATATGATTCCAGGAATTCTCCCTCCCTTCAAACTCCTTTATTTATCACTTTGAGTAGAGTCATTCTGATGTTTGATTAGCCATGGGCTCTGGAGCCAAGGGAACATGGGTTTGAATCTTGCCGTTGACACATACACACTATGAGATCTTAATATCTTTAAATCTTATTTTTTTTAATCTGCAAAATGCACATATCACTGGCATGCCAAGGCTGTTGGTAGGAGGATTAGATGAAATAACATGTGAAAGCATGTAGTACAGTACAAAGCCTAACTGGACACAGATGCTCAGTAAGTAGGTTCCCTTTCTCCCACTGACCCCAGGCTTTTGAACCATCCCAGGAAGTATACACCAGTTAGTATCCTCTGGACTTGGCCCTCGAGCTCGAAAGTATTTGTACGGTGGAAACTTCAGTTCCCTGTTCAGAGTCAGTTTTCAAGATTATGATTCATCTAGTTTCTAATTGCTCTCATTACCCAACCCAGCAATACCAGGCACTCCAACAAGGTCACCACACCCTCCACACATTCAGAGACAGGTTCCAATTTCGGGCACCAGCCTCGCCAGCAGAGCGTTTTGAACTTCTTTATGCAGAATTTGTTTTAGCACAGGATCAGTCAACCAGATTGGAATACTGCCCCTCTCCCTCCAAGCAGGAGCTTTAATTTTTCCGAGATGAACCCCCTCCTTAAATTGTGATAAGTAGATGAATTGACTCCAGAAATTCTCTGAATACTCTGTGATAGGAAGGAGCCAGTAACACCCACTCCCTAACAGGGCAAAAACACCCGTCCGCTTTCCTCTCCTTTGTTTTTATATCCCCGAAAAACCCAGAGCCTACATGAAACCAAAAGGTTAGTTGGATAAAACTGATGAAAGGGGACAGAAGTTGGATAACTTAGGCGATGCGTTGAGCTTCATAAAAACAGGGTCCACAGCTGCAGTATGAGAACCGAGGGCTTCACAATCAGAGTCTAAGTCACAATCTAAGGGCCCACCAGGTTCCCGGCAGTGCCGTCAGTGCCAGGTTGGGGCCAGGAATGTAAGTCAACGTGACACTTTTCTGAACCTCAAGTGAGGAGGGAGGGAGGTTAGGAGGAAGGGAAGATAAACATGCCAAGAATGCCCAGAGGCAGTAATAATAGCTAACATCGACTGAGCACCTACTCTGGGCCAGAAACTATCCCAAGCAATGTACACAGACAAACTCGCTTGGTTCGCCAGAAAGCCCTAAGAACGTGCTTACTGCAGCGGAGGAAACCGGGAGCCGGGATTAGAATTTTGACAGTCGGACCGGAGGGTGGGGCTGTGGCAGGTGCTGCTGCATCAAAGGCTGCGTGGAGCCGGTATGTGTCATTCCGACTTCGGGGGCAGCGGCACCCAAGAGGGGGGATCCTAAGGAACTCGGGGAGAGGTTTTCCTAGAATTCAGAAGGGGCTCCAGTAACGGAAGGATGGAGGGCTGCCCCAGATAGAAGCCAACTGTCCCACAAGCGCCCACCGTGTGCTAAAGAAAGAAACGAACGGCCCCTCGCGGCACACCGATGAGAGGGAGGCTGTTCCACTTACAGTAGTTTTACGGACTGTGATAAACGGCCACAATAAAGGTGCAAATAGGGCTATGGAAGCGCAGGGGAAGGGAAGGAGCCGTTAATTCTGGCACTGGAGGACGCTTGGAGCTCGCAAATGTCGGGAGAAACGATCTTTATGGAGACCCACGAGCTCCGCAGGTCCCACGGAAAGCGGGGATTCCCCCCCCCGCCCCTCCGGCGAGGCCAGGGAAATGGAGGCTCACAGGGTCAGAAGCTCGCTCCTCCTGCCCCTTACCTGGGGTCGGGGCGGTCCGGACCGGCTCGGAGCGGAGAATTCGCGGACTCTGGTCAGTCGACGCGAACAGGCTCCGGCGAGCGCTGGCGGAGGACCGAGGCCCAGTGGGAGCGGCTGACAGATACCGGAAACC